CCAAATTGTCGAGGAGGTGGGCAACTGAGCTGCTGAGGGCTAAGTGTAGCGATTGACTGAGAGAGAGAGAGAGAGAAAGAGATGAGTCAATGGTGGAGGCGGGCGGCTGATAGAGTAAGTTAGGACTTAGGGCTTTAACTGAGAGTATATGTACATATTTAACAAGTATAGCGGGGACAAGGCGGAGATGGGGTAGGGAGGGGGTAAGGGTAAGTCCATCCCCACTTTCATCCTTGCATGGATTTATACGAGTCTCCCCATATACGTCTACCGTCCAATGCGTATAATCCATCTTTGGTCCAAACAGGGCGGGTTTGGACAAATACCCATTTTTCTTTGGTCCACTGCCATCCCTAAAGACAAGGCGAAGAGTCGAGCGTGGGGCACCTAGGACAAGGCGCGGTTTCTCCGAGGGGCACTAGCGTCATTGGTAGACGTGAGCGCCAATAGGAGGTACACGAGCACTGGGGGGCTGAGGGCACGCGGTAGTGGTCTTGGTTTGGGTGGAGAATTTGACAATAATGAAGGACCCATCATTTTCAAGACATTGTGGCAATAAAATGCAATCATCTTATTGGAATATTTTTTTACAAAGTGTTGAAAAAGTGGGGAACAATGACAACCACTTAGAAGATTTGTTGAATAATATGGAGGGTTTTGGAGGATTATGTTAAAAAGTCAAGCAACTAGGAAACATGTTAACTAGGGCACCTGTGTAAGGGGCGTGAAGGTCGATGACAGAAACCATGTTACTCAGTGTCCACAGTGATGCAAGCCTTTTGTGAAGGCTGTCATGACGACTTTGTCATCTAGTTCTTCAATATTGAGGACTTCTTTGTTAAAATGATTGAGATAACTCCTTAGACTTTTATCCATGCTTAATGCTAAGTAGATGGGTGGTACGTTTCTGGTGTCGGCGTCTCCCAATAAAGTGTGAGATGAAGGACCTACTTAGTTAAGTGAAAGAGTCAATGAAAGCTAGGATAAGTTTGGCGAACCATTGGCGAACAGATCCTTTGAGGGTGGTAGGGAAAGCCTTGCATATGATCTCGTCTGGTATATTGTATAGGTACATTAGAGATTTGTAATGGTTCTGTGAATCTTTGGAGCCATCAAAAGCTTCCACAGTTGGCATCTTGAACCTTAAAGGAGAGGGTAGTTGGCCACATCAACTATAAAGGGTGTGTTAGTATGTCTTATAAGGTACTCGACTGTTTCAGGCCCTTGCGCCTTCATGACATTGAAGACGTTGTCAAGTTGACTCTGCACTTCTTTGATTTTTTTGTCCTAGTGGTTGGGGATGCCTTCTGAATGGTCATTGTAGTGACTCTAGTGGTCCACATATTGGTTTTCTCACTCGTTTTTTTGGAAATGAGGGTCACCAGCATGGGAGGACAGAATTGACATGCGAGAAGGGAGAATTGGTGCGCCCTAGCGCTAAGGAGGAACGCCTTGGCACTAGGGGCCGCACTAGCGTTGCAAAGGGGTGCCCTAGGCAAGGTGCCTGGAGTGCTTCCCCTCATGGGTGCTGGGGCACGACTCCTTGAGGATACCTTAGTGAGTATCAACTAGAGGATCTGCTGGTTTGTATTCACTAACTACTGCATAGTCTCTAGCAACTTTTGCTATGGTTCATAGACGGGATTTGCTGGCGAGGGTAGGACCTCTTCCTGACGTTGTTGATTATTCATTATTTGTTGATTCATAGATCTATTCGTAATAGTCATAAACACACAAAAGCAGTTGGATGAAAATTAAGTCATTCTCACAGATGACACCAAACTAATGATACACAAAATGTGTTTATGCACCACCTGTAATATGAGGGTTAAAAAAAAAGTAACATAGGGAGATGCTAGAAGAGACAAGCTTCGTGCATCAAAACGGAATGCTCGATAATAATTTGATAAGATAATCATTTGAGTTTGAATTTTGGCAACTCCGTTAGACCCAATCAAGAGGAATTTATCCCTCATAAATACCTTAATCCTCATGTAGATAATCTATCTTTAGCCGGACTAAAAATAATTTAAGGTGCCCATAAACTGGCCTAGACACCCTTGACCGTTGAATGAGTGAACCAAATTACTCAATATATATTATTATTTTTTAAACTATATAATAATGTGACTTATTATATTTAAGTGAGTAAGTAAAAAATTGAAGAGAAAAATGTATTTATTAGAGACGTCTGAATCCCTATCACGTAAATGTTCGTTACGTGAGATTATAATATATAGTTTTATGAACCACAAGATTACTCTTTTGTAAGATACCGCAAGAATGACTGTAATTTCCCGTCAAAATAAAGGGAACAAATCCGAGGACAACATAATAGAACCAACACACAGGCAAATCATCCTTCATAGGAGATCATCGGGAGGTGGCTTTAGAACTCAGTCCTTAGGTAGCTATAGAAAATTTGTTGGATTGTGTGTTGAAAAAATAAATAATTAAAATAAAAAATATTATTTTTTAAATAACCAAAATAATTTTTGTTGTTAGAAATACTCCTAAAACATCTTGTTAAGTTTTGAATTTTAAGTATCTAGAAGTACATTTTTTTTTTATTTTAACTACTCATTTTTTAAATACATATTTCAATAAATTTTCTATATTTTAACTATTTTTTTAAATATTATTTCTTTTATTTTGTACATTTGTTAAAACTATTAAAAAGAGAGAAATAAAATGAAGAAAAAGACAATGAAAAAAAGAGGTGCAAAATAACAAGAGAAGAAAATATATTATAAACTATTTATACATAATGCTAGTGTGATACTCTAAATATAGAGTATTACTCTAACAAAAATATATTTTACTTATTCTGAACATCTTCTGTTGGAACATATTTTTTATCTTTGAATAGCTAAATTTTAATCATTTTAAAGTTTTAACCATTCTTTTGGAGATGATTATGTATTTAGGTTGCGTTTGGGAAGATTTATAAAATCCAAAAAGTATTTTTTCAATAAATGTTTATCAAAAGTATTTTATAAAAAAACACTTTCATTGAGTAAGTATTGTTTGGACATTCAAATTTAAAAATGCTTAAATTAAAGTATTTTATAAAAAATTAGTTTGGATGTAAAACTATTTACTTGTGTCACAATTGTTAACACATCATTGAGTGCACATATACAAACATACGGTATACATATAATGATACACAAAAAAATATCGTACATAAAAAAAAAAATCACATTAATAAAAATATGAACCTTTGTTTTGTTTTTAAAGAAAAAAAAATTTTATTTATTCACAAAGAAGATTACAAGAAGCAAAGATAAGACACAAACACCTTATAAAAAACTAAAAAGGCACATCCGCCAACCAAAAACAAAACAACAAAAATCATACTAACAATCAAAATTCTGAAAACAAAAAGCAGCTGCTCCCAATCATTCTCTTCATCACAGTCAACAACCTTTCCACAGATTTCAAACAAATCAGCACTTTTCAAAGCCAAATTAACCTTCATCAAAACAAGTCTTCTCTTCTTTCGTAGAACAGGCATGTCAGGCTGGTCATTCAACAAAGCAGCCCCAATTTCACAAGGCAGTCGAACCCCACACGTAAAATCAGAAGACTGTCCACTCATCACAGCTTGAGCAGATAACCTATCGACAACTGAATTAGCTATTAGACCAAACAAAGTTAGCCATTAATGAGTTAAGCTTAGAAATCACAGTTTTAGGCAAATTCAAAGAAGCCAGGAGATGCATAGGAACAACACAAACTGAACCATCAAAACTCTCCCCATATTGGATAACATCTTAGTGTAACAACCCTTCAAAAAAACTAACTCTTACCCTCCCTTGAATGATAGGACATCCTAAATAAGTGAAAGGACAGGATGTCACTAGAATTCCAGTTAATCCAGATAAAACATGCCTCATCTCCACAGAAATCAGTTTAGAACAAATCGTAGAACTCTTGAAAATAGATATTGCCATGAATTTCAATCCCACGGCAAGATCCTTGAGCCCACCACCACGTCTTAATTAATTATCCAAATAACAGTGAAATCCTCAGGCGAATCTGTTCCCAAACATATTTCTTTGATACAATTCAATCATCTTCTGTGCTGGTTGATTTAGTGAAAATAGTTCTTTCAGACATTCTGTCAAACATCTTCTCCTCATCCAACATATACACGCATGAACCATTCATAAGCGCAAGTGCAGTGCCCAAAAAACATTGACTCGAACATAATATACAAATCCAAGTTTGTACGTTTTTGAGATGAATTGGGATACCCAATAACTCCAAAAGAACGAAGACAGAAGAGAAAACAGAGCAACAATCTCCTAACTCTTTGGCATTGTCATCGATGGTCTACAAAATGGAAGAAGGAACGCAGACAGAAGAGAGAACAAAGCAGTATAATTGCCGGCGATCTCCTACCTCTACGCTATCGCCGCCGATTATTACCATACTGGAAGCCTTTAGATGTTCGCAGCGAGAGAGTATGGTATAGTCACGATGGTCAGAAGGAAATAAAATAAGTATAAAAATAAATTGTCAGAAGTGATTTTGGATAAGTAAAAATTTTATTTTTAAACTTCTATTTTTGGACTTATTTAAGTGATAAAATAATTTTAACTTTTTTAAAATTACTTTTAATAAGTAATCCCAAACACTACTTTTTTTTAAAAAAAGTGCTTATAATAAGTCAAAGTTCAAAAAACACATTTTTAAGTCAATCCAATCAGACTCTTAATCGAGTTTACTCGAAACATTCAATTGCATGAAACCATCTAAATGAATTTAACACGATCAATACAAAAAGCAACATAAGTACTCTCCATGAAAAACCACATCCAGGCACTAGAAGCATACATTCCAGTTAAACTAATACAGATACGTCAAACAAATGTTGCGTTACGCTAGGATTCACGGATATGGTCAAAAGCAAATCACGGCAAAGAGGCCAGCAGTAAAAATTCTTAGTCATTCATGCAAAAACCTCACTGTTGCTGTGCTTGAATGGTTTCCGTCTATTTTTCTTCTTCCCCTTCTTCCCCAACAGATGTTGATGTCCCTTGCGATGTTGCCATAGCCATGACCTCTCCGGGAGGTGGGTGGTCAAACTTGCATGTTGGACCATACTTGCATGTGCCAGTCTTCATATAGTATGGACAGTTAATGGCGCCCTGCCAAAGTGATCCACCAAACAAATAATCATCTAACAATGTATTTATTCCAAAAGTTAAAAAACACCAAGTTATTACCACAAGTTTTAGAGAAAAAGAAAAGGGGGGGGGGGGGGGGCTGGAGGTTTATATGTATGCAAATACATGCCCCCAACTTTTGCTATAACCAAACTTTACAGGTGCCACATACTCATGTTCAGCAACCATAACAGCACAGGCACTGGTCTTAAAGAGGCAGTTCCACTGGAATCTACATATAAATTGCACAAATCTAATGGCATTTTCAAATACTTGGAACTGCCAAATACAACTGAAACATTAAACTCCTGAGCCTAAACCTTTACCTTGTCTTCATTCAGTTCACATATAATTTCTTCCCTTTCTGCAATGTTTTCTGCCCCTAAGGTCCCAAACTATGATATGATAGAATGAGCTGAAACTTTTACCACCTACCTTTAAGCATCTCGAGTGGACTAACCTAATAGCCCATTGTGAGACAAAACTTTTGGGATTGGAAGTTCAGGGTAGTCCACTCGAGATGCTTAAAGGTAGGTGGAAGAATCACATACAAACACATCGGTGGGATACAAATGAAGCACGTGAGTATGAGATTCAGAGAAGCCTCAGCTCCTGGCAGGGTCTAAATGAAGGGTGCAGGTATGAGTTTCAGATAAGCTGCTATAGCTCCAAGCCTGGTAGAAGTACCGGTGCTATACATAAAACACGATACAGAGGTCATGCTCATGCACAATATCATTTTTGTAATAAATTTGTTGATGCGATGAAGAATGATAAATAGAGGAAGCATGTACTTGGTACGATAATAGCTTTCCACTATGAATCTTGCTCCGGGGAATTTACTTTGTAAGCAACCACGTGTTTCTTTAAGTGAAGCTCTAAAATTCTGGCTAACAAGTCCATTAAAATGAAGGAACTAGGCTTAAGTTGCTTACAAGCTCTGAATTGATAAGGAGTTGGCGAATGTATACACAAACTGCATCTCCTAATTGAATACTTTCAATTCTTACATTAGTAGACAATTACTTCAACAGGTGAATAAAGCAAGCGAAGAAAAGAAAACAACCTATAACAAGATGCATAAATTTTGATTTTGCAATTTCATGCAAACGTAATTTAGCCAGGGAAGACAAAAATGTGACTAAGCAAATATATCAAGATAAACAATATTCTTTACCACGTCCTATTACAGTTTTACACCATTAAGACTTCTCATAAGAACTAAATACCCACTCCGGGATAATGAACCACAGAGGTTTATGCAAATTTAGAGGAAACTCGGGAAAAATCCAACCAACTAAAAGATGCAACAATTCTTTTCCCATAAGAAATCAATTGCCCCTGTAAGCACAAATTAGATGGTTATTGATATTTGAGAAACATACTACACGTACCTCTCTCCTAGGTAGGCCAGCAAGAGTGAGCTTAACATGTTGTTGCTGTGTTTCCTTTGCTAACAGTGTGGGTGATGACCGATCAATAGGGTGATGAAATTTGCACCTCTCCCCAAACTTACATATCCCAGTTTTCATATAGTACTACAACATAGAAAAAATACGTACTCAGGGAAAAACACAGTTAAGAAGTAAGCAGATTCATGGTACCAACAATGTAATTATCAAAGTAATCTTAATCAGTTGATAAGCAAGCCAAACGACAACAAAATTCTACAGAAGATTTATTTAGGATTCAGTTCAGCAAACACAGACTAGATCTCCACAGATAGTTAGATAGTCTAACCAGACTATCAAGTAAAATCTTTCAATTTCCTACCAGTATTTTTTTTGTTCCCCCAAAATGAGGATATAGTTCAGTTAAAAAGGAAGATAGATAGAACCTAAAAGAAATTAAGAGAAAAAGAAACCAGAAAAACATATGGCTGGGGCTATCCCCACACATAAAATACTCGTTCCTACAATATTTCTGTACCCACCCCACTAAAATTGTCTGTTGCTTTACGTACATATAGAATTAGAAATTTGCATTCTAACCCCATCTCACCCCGACATCTGAAACTTCATCAGAGAGAATTCCCAATGCTCATGTTGATGGATTTTGCTATGACTTAGCGTCAGCTCACAGCAGAGCATCATTAATTTCAGTACATGTGTACCCAAGCTGCTCTTCGGCTAAGGTTTTCAGATCATTTGTGATCATTGGGGTGCAAGATGGTGCCTACTAATGTGGTAAATCAGATGGCTGAGATAGAGATCTCCACTATGGTTGTGGCACTGGTTGGAGACGAGCAAGAATAGGTTCTACGTTATGTTATGTATTCCTAGCATAAGAGTATTTTGGTAATCTGTGGTTATATATGGGATGTAGTTGTGTAACCCTAACACACTACACTCTTCTCTTAATCTTTCTTCCCTTCATAACTCTAATTACTCCACAATCTAACTTGCTACTTGTTCCCTGTGCATGTTATAGTCCAGATGCTGAGCCTCAGTTAATATTTCTCTTTGTTTTTGTATTTTCCTTTTCTGGGCCATGATTGTGCATGTGAGTTTTGGAACACCAGTTGATACTGCTTGTGGTCTCCAGTTGACTTTGCCCTGGAAGAGGGGCACTGACAAACACATCCAGATGCCTTAAGTGCATGCATGGGTCAAGTGAATAACATTTATTAATCAGCCATTGAACTTCGACAGGGAGACCATTGACAGCACCCTCTACAAAACAAAGTCGGTGAGTTTCCACTGCTTCGCTGGGTGGGCATAGACTGTCAGTCCAATCAAGACTGGGATTCAATGAGGTTGAGGTAAACTGGGTAGGCTTAGTCACAAGCTATCTTTTGAAGGATATTAAGAAGTTGTACAAGGGTGGGAATAGCCCCACTCAAAACTTATTCTCTGAAAACATTTGTAAAATATCTTTCTTGGGAAAATATCGGACCCCGATAATTTCAGTCTTACAAAATCTAGAATCAATACTTGATGGTCTAAAGGGAGATCATGTCTCCCAGACCGTATTTCTTCCTTCAAGTGGACATCATTTACAACTGGACAATGAAATCAAATAAATACGCACATCACATTCGATTTGTCCAGGTCGTTGTGGGTAGATAGTTGGAGCCAACCCAAGCTGCAAGAGGAAAACATATGGCATCTATTAGTAGACAAACAGAAAAAATTCAACATTGCATCTCATTACATATAAGGTCAAGCAAAATTTGAGAACGAATACGTATTAATAGTGACAAACAACAAAACATGTTCACAAATCAAATGTGATTATTTGTTATTTTGGAGGAATAACAGAATAAGGAAAACAGACAATAGAAAAACTCACCACAGGATTGTCCATATTAAGAAACAGCAAAAATCAGTGTATAGAACAAAGATGGAACTAATTTACAAAAGATATCTCATATCAAATGAAAACACAAGTGGCAAGCGACTAATAATCAAGATACAGAACAATCACTGCCCATTTAACCAAGATTCAGGGATGTTGGCAATCCACCTGTCTTTCAGACATGAGGATGCACACAACTGAAATATGACAATAGCCTAAAACATTGCATCCTGCATGCATAAAAAGAGACACATTTAAAAGCATAAAAATATTAATTTTACCGTAGTCTGACTCAGCCTTGGGTCAATAGTTTGCAGGATAGAGGCAGCTGGATTAACAACGCCAATGTTTAAATGAGTCGCAGGAGAGGCTAAAATCGCAGGGCCGATAGCAACAGCAGGCGGGTTGATCTCTGCACAATGTCGTCACTGGTTAACTTTGAAGCATGAGTGTTACCCAAGAATGTAATAAAAAATTCCACATGTATTGATAGATTACCAAACATATTAACTTACCCCTTCATTACCCCAAAAAAAATACACTTACCATTTCGGTCCGGATGATTGTAGCGACAAGTGGCACCATACTTGCAACTGATTTACGAAAATAGAAGGTAGAGAACAATGATAGTTCTTGATCAGATGTAATTATACAGCACACACACACACACAGAGATTCCATTTCTTCGTAAATGGAGATGAACTGACCTGCCTGTTTTCAGGTAGAATGGACAATCCCCTTCACCCTGTCATAGGAAGCAACAAGTAAACAGAAGATGATAGGATGTCAAGGATTATATTTAAGGAGTGGAAAAAAACAGCAGCAGGCGAAAATAAATGACAGCGAGCAATCTTATGGTATATGAATAACAACCATCAGTCTAGGAAGGCGGAATCCATAGATTAAAATAAGAGAAGAGAAATTCAAATCTAAATTGGTGGTCATGTAGTTGGACCAGTCAGGTGTTTCCATTAACTATTCCAGAAGCAAAAATGTTATATTCAATATTTATTCAACTTCATTTATTGAGCTGTAGACATTATATCTATTGCTTTCTCACATTAGCATGCCTATTCGATACTCAACATTGATTCCATTCATGTCATGGCTTTATAGATACATATTGCATCTCATCTATCTACGGAATGAGCTCAAAAGAAGGAGAGGGGAAAATAGAGATGAAAGGAGGGAATACAGACTTGCAAAGACTTCAGTACAGGGGAAATGAATATATGAGAATCGTATTTTTTCGCAGTTTTTGAATTTGTAAGACAAACATTACCGGTCTGATGGGAAGGCCTTTGGAATTATGCAACAATGCTGGGGTAAAAAGAGGTTTAACTAGCTCCAAATCTCCAGCCATTTCATCATTAATTGCTTGAATCTGCTCACCACTGCCATTCTCTTGTCCAGCTGATGGTATCAGAATATCTTTTGGGTGATGGAATTTGCAGGTGGCACCAAATTTACATGTTCCAGTCTTCACATAGAACTGCTTGAATATTGCAACATGTTCATCAAACCAACAACACAACCTATATCAAAGAATGCTCCACTGAGAAAATGAAATTGTCATACCGCACATGGAAGCTCAGATGGCCTCTGGGGTAAGACAGAAACATCAGCACTCTCAGGGACACCCTAAAGTCAAAAGTCCACAAGCAAATCATTAAACTTCAAGAAACACAAAAACAACGGCTAATCAACTACCACGCAATAAACCTACCAAAGAAGCCATCTTATCTTTCGGGTGGTTAAATTTGCATCTAAGACCAAACTTGCACCTTTGAGTCTTCAGAAAATACTAGGGCACATTGCAAGGGGAATTAAGTACATGAACTAATGCAACGTTATATGTTTCAAATAATCCACATGAAAAAAACACTAATAGTTTTTGCTTACAGGACAATCTGGCTCCCCTGGTCTTTCTGGAAGGGATTCACTCGTAGCAATAAGTGGCACCTACATCCATAGTAAAATATCATGCCAAAAGTGTAATAACGCAACAACAATTTTTTCCCAATAGACAGATGAACAATAATATAAAACCAGGCAACAAAACCATGTAACACAAACAGACAAAGTCCCATTACAAAAGAAAAGACAATTTTGATCCCAAAAAAAAAAAGAAAGACATTGTATAATGGGCAAATATTGATGACACCCCCAATAGATTGATATTTATAGGGAAACCATTTGAATTTTTAGAAAAAAATAGTGACAATGTGTTGTCAGATAATGGATGCAATAGAAACTGGCTATTTACATCTTTAACCTCATTCTTCCAATATATTGTCAGACAAAAGGCACCAATTTTAACCCATAGTTGTTCTCCTCCTCCTTCATTCGTTTTTTTTTTTTTCTATGTTTCTCTTTCTCACAGAGACATTTCTGCTCTCGTCATCCACCACCGTCCACCATAGCAGCACAACCCAAACACCATCATCATTGTGCAAGCACACACACACACACATAAACACACTGTGCATCTCTTTTCTGTAAAACTCGCACACATACAGAGTACCATCCAAATAGTCACGAAGAGTTCCAATAGACATGGATAGCAAAGCCAACACCAGTGTTGTCTAAACATCAGATGTCACCTGACGCAAAACCTGCTGCTAATTAGAATATCCAACCAAAACCCACATCTACCAAAAAAATCATCTCCTAACCAACTCAACAAGACACAACCTTGTAGTGGCAACACCTTCTACTAACATCTCCAATATCATTAGCTAAATATCAAACCCATTTCACAACATGGGTGAGAGAGAGTGAGAGAGAGGGCTATTTGGCATCCCTTTTGGGTCTCATCTATGCCATTTTTTTTGGGTCTATATCTGAACAATAAGAGGCCCATTTTACTCTCATTTAGGCCACCTATATTACTGCTAATAAAATCCAATTCAACACAATTATCAACATATTGGAGCATTTTACTATCTCATTCAACTGGTAGCAGTGGCTTTCGATGCCGCCCTAGATATACATGGGATCCACTATGTTTCTCTCAGAAATTCAGAACTAAAGAAATGAGGGATACCCAATTGCTTTCAGTTTATTGATATTTGCTTACTGATTTCAAGGGTGAATCATGGACATTGGACCAGAGGGCTTGAATGAGCACACTATGACAAACAACAAGAGGGTGTACAAATTAATAATTGCTGAGATTTTAAGAAGCTCTGATCTGGGACGCGTTCGGGTTCAAACACCTGATATAAGAAATTGGATGTGTGATTCAAGGGAGCCCATCAACGTGAGAGAGGAAGATAAGGTAAGAAGTAGAGCTAGAGAAGGTTCAACAGTGACTAGACCGACTTTCATGATAGTGTGGTGGTGAATTGGATCTTGATTTTTAGTTTTTGATTCTTTGCATGGTGTATGCAATGAAAAGTAGTCCAAGGTAGGTAGTAGTATGGTGCTTGTGTGGTAGTGGTAGCAGTGGTGTGGCATGATAGTTCATAAGAGAGAGAGAGAAGGGGGGAAGAGAGAGACTGAGAAAGCATGGTGGTCAGGTGTGTGAGCAATGATGATGGGGGTGTTGTGTGTGTCTTGGTATATGATGTTATAAGGGTATAATGGGTATTAAAGAGGGAATTTCCACTGAGATCATAACCTTTTTAAGTCGCTACTAACACCCCTAACAGCAGCAAGGGTGTTATGCGAATGAATATTCAAACAGAAGAGAAATAGAACCAACAACCATCACATAAATATTACCTAATTGAATAAAATTATTTTCTGTGCTCTAGGTGCCAACACCAAAAGACTGTAGAGGGATGGCACTATTTTTAATCAAAGATCATTGGGCTCGAGTACTCGAATTTCGAATGATGTTGAGATATAGTTATTTATTTATCTCCCTAGTCCCTGCATTTTCTTTTCTTTTTTTTGTTTTGTCTCTTGTATTGCCTTGAAAACTCCTTGTCCTTTCATGTACTTTTCTCCATTTTATTAACAATTTAATCATGTTTACAATTGAAAAAAAAAGGATCAGCTTTATTAAACCCAAAAATTACTGGGTACTGCCAGTATTTTCAAGAGAGCTTTCCTCAATGGCATATGAATGGATGAATTATAATTGTATCAGAAAATAACAAAAGTCAGTTTACCACTAACAAAAGTCTCATAAGAACTTTCATAAACTTTGATGCCTATTAGAAGTGTTGCACAAGTTGTTCCCAAAATTCTCCCACATTATTGTGACAACTTAATACGTTCCTCAATCCATATTTACTACCAACCAGATGGCATGAGTATAGGCAACAAAACATCGTCTCAGATAAATTTAACTTGTGTGTGAAATCAAAATCAAATAAACAGCCTAGCTAGTAAGTTGTTTAACCAACCAAGGTATAAAAGAAAAATGTTTTGTTGAGTTAGATTTTGTTAGGTTTATTAATTTGGTTTACTTTTGAAGACTCTAGATTCCATTGGATTTGTATCTGAATATAAGATATTGATTATTAGCAAATTACAGTATCAATCCTCTTACAAATAAAGAGCCAAGTGAAGAAACAAATGATGAGCATTTAGTTGAAACTTCAAACCATTAAAATAGAGATCAAACCATCAAGGAATGAATTTAATTTGACACAAGCAATCATCAACTGAATTGTAATAAATCAGGTTGTCATGGAAGGAGGACAAAGGGGGAGGGAATAAAAAAAATTCCCCACCGTATTTTCTCATTTGGCTTATGAACTAGGTAATCATAATAGCATTTTGGATGCTTTCCCCACATACAAAGGTGTCATACGGAGTGAATCAAGCAAACACAAGGTAACAAAACTTATATACAAATCAAAATAATTACGTAACATAGAGGTACATATAGCTCATATGATAACCTCACTTCACTTGTCCAATAAGCGAGGATAAAATCCATTGAAACATGGACACGGAAACCCATAATAATAAAATTAGTGTTTGTACATAATTTACTAGCTATCATTATCACAGAGAATAAAAATTGCAATAAACAGTCACCTCTTTCCAATCTGGGATTCCACCCTCTGGAACCCAAATAGGATGGTCAAACTTGCAGCTATCTCCAAACTTACAGGTTCTTGTGAGCATATAATGGGCACAGTCCTTCTCTCCAGGCCTCTGCGGATAAATAGGCAAACTGCTTGCATTCTCGAATCTAGGGCGTTTGGCTAAAAGGTTGGTAGACAACCAAGCTTCACTTTGCCCAATAGTGTTATGGGCACCCAAGACAGTCTGAGGATAGAGCGCTACGATAGATAATAGACACATATAAACAAGAAAATCACAATATATATGTTATTATATAGTATGATCTATATTTAGTAGAAAGGAATTACGATGATGAGCATTACACCAAACATATATTGAACAAATCGTAAATAGCAAAGTACACAAAATACAAAGTTTTTAATCAATTTTGTCATAAACTAAATGATATTGAAAGATTTTATATCACAAGACAAGATCATATAACCATGATCCTTAAAGCAAAATAGTCAATAAACCATACAATTACATCACTCTGCAAGGGTAGAAAATAAAGTTAGGAGTTTATATACCTCTTTATTTCTTTCTTTTTTGATGGATAAGAATTTATGTACCATCTATAGGAAAATTAAAGACATAATTACCTCTTAACATACTCTAGGGACACATTCAATTATCACATTTACAATACACTAGCGAAACAAGAAAAAAAAAAATCAAGTTGGCACTAATCATACAAGAATATTCCTTCACATACATATGTGTCCGCGTATGTTCAAAGCAAAATAAACATTTTTACTAATAACTCTAATGAAGGGAACCACAGTACACAGACGAGTCAACAAGATTGGTATACATGACACACTCACGAGATAGGTCAAAACAACAAGGTGATTTCAATCCTACATGAACATGGTTCAATGTCATGGTATCAACAATTAACTCAAAAAGTACTAAAACACACTAGTTGAGGCATAACGGAGCGGTATTAGGCAATATGTACAAAAAGCTAGATAGAGCAAGTTGGACATGCGAGAGATTGTGGACATATCACGGTGTAAAAGACATGAGACTCGTAGTATACACGAACACGTATTAATCTCACAATATAAGTGTCGAGTTAGATAGGAGTAAACCTCATATTAGTATCAATCAATACTTTGAACACATTCAAGATCAAACATGCATGCCCACATGCCTATAGAGTATTGGCATCACGAAAACTATGGCAAATTAGGTCAAATACTCACTTAAAAATTCAACACGTGGGTAAATTCATTTTTTCTCGACGTAGACATCAACTACACATGTATATGAAACCAAAATGATAGTATATCATAATAACCCTACAGAAAAGGCTCAATTAGCATGAAGAAAGGGAAAATAGTGAATTAGTATGAAAATAGCACAGGAAAAACCTTTCCTCAACTTATGGAGTTCAGATATTCATTCTGAGCTGCTCAACAGATTACACTTGGTGTAGAGAGTATCACCTCGATAATACTGCTCTCCAAAAGTAACTTAAGTAGGGTTATCTAAGATAATATATAGCTTACACCATTCCAATTGGATTGCAGATTATACTGATTGGACCCTTACAATGTTTTCAATTTCTTATGATTTGAAAATTAATAATTTCACTACCTTCTGACTAAGAGTTATTTCCTCGTTATAAATATATTCCACCTTTTCATGTACAATGCTAGTTCTACACCACCACTCCAAATACTATCAATAGTTAGAAAGATGGGTGGCACACACCCTACAACGCTACACTCGTGTTCCTCACTTCAAATCATCTCCTATCTCTTCCTTCAATCAGCATCATCCATCAATCCCCTCACCTTGCCAAACAATTCAGAGGGCCAAGAAAGAAACAATTGATTTGCACAATGATGAATTACGTCATAATTTGTTATTTTTCGAGCCTGTGCATGCTTGAATGTAAATGTTCCTCAATGTTCCATACTTCCATCTTAAACAGGACCCAGCGAGGAAACTAATAACATATGCACATCTAGAACTAGGAGCTGAATTAGAAAATCGAAAAAAGATAATTAGTAATGAAAAGCATTCAGGGAGACAGGGAAGGTGTTAGAAGCCTTACCTTCAGAGGCCGGCCGCTTGAGTCCGGCAAGACGAGGATCCAAAGAAGAAGCAGCAGCAGCGCCGACATCAACACCGGGCGGCCCGAGCCAGGATCCCGTAGTAACAGAAACACCAGGAACTCTATTGCCGGTCGCCACCGAATAACCGCCGGCGAGAGCGTCGGTGTGGGAGAAGAGCATGGAGGAGGGACCTCTGTCGCTGATGATGGAGGAATAGATGGATGATAAGTTGGAGGCTGAGGACGAAGAAAGGATGTCCGAGGTAAGGTATCTGGAAGAGCTCAGCAATGAAGAGTCAGCCGACAGGTAGGGATCGGCGACTGATCTCGATGTATAGACGCTGCTCAGATTGGCAGCACCTCCATAGCTAGTAGGGTTGTAGCCGTACAGGTGATTCGCCATCCCAAAAACGCTTTAGGCAAGACCTAACGAAGCAAATGATGGGGTCGATAGGTTTTATTGGAATAATTATTAAACCCGGAGAAAACACCAACCTGACAAGAAAACCGGGTTAATGGATCCCCAATTTAATCTGGGTACAACAAAATTAATTATAATGCTGGTGTTAATTGAATTAAACTTTGCGAACATGATTTTGATTTTGAGTTTGTCGAATTTATTTTATTAGATGAGTCAAAAAAATTATTTAAACTCGACTTATTTTGAACTCGAACCAAGCCTGAGTCCAGACCGAATCCGAATAGTTCGACTATTTTTTATATAAATTAATCAAGTGTTGAGAGTTTAAGCCGAGTCTTTTTAGGCTCGTTTTTTTTAAACGAGCTTAAAAAATTATTCAAATTCAGCTCGTTTACGACACAAGTTTTATTCGAGCCAAATACAAATAGTTCATCTCAATTAACACCCTAATTATAATAAACTAGCGAGCACATGGAATTTATTTTCCCTTGTCATCACAATGTGTTCACCCTTTTTTTAACCTTACTAAAAAATTAATCATAAAGAAATTAAAATAATATTTATAAAATATAAAAAAGTGAAGAAACATGAAAAAAAATTTAATTTAAAATAATTTTAAAAATTAAATGAGAGTAATTAAATAAGTCAAATGACATATTTGATTAGAAGGGGTTAACTAAATATATTTTTTGTTATCTTTCTAATAAAATTGTTAAATATTGGAAACAAAATTCATTTACTTGGAGAGGGAGCAAAAATTTAAAATATGGAGGAACATTAGGAGATTGTAACATGTAGAAAATAGTAATAGAATATAGAATTCAAATAGGGTTTAGGACTTGAGGCTTATGGGCTAAGGGTTTTCAGGATTTTGGGTTAAGGTTTAGGGGGTTAAAGGTTAAGGGTTTAGAGGTTAGGGATTTGGCTTTATTATTCTTTTGCTTAATTTGCTCCACCTTCTCATCATTCTTCTCCTATTTTTTTTTCCTTATTGTTGTTTGTTATCCTTTGAATTTTCATGTTTATATGCGTAACTAATCTAATGTGTATTTTGATTTTAATTGTTTGTGGAATAAATGCATGCTTATAAAGAAATAAGAAGAGTTGAACGAGATAAGTTTACAAAACGAGTTTAGGGGTGAAAAGATAAGTATATTTATTTGTCCTAGTTCCATTGACTTTCTTTTAAATATAAAATGTGTTTTACACATGACTATCTCTATTTTTTTTTTTGTGTTTCTTACTTGTTATGATCATTCTTTCTATTATTTTCAACCCCCAACACTCATTATCCCACAATTTCCTTTATATTTTTAATTGTTGTTTTTGTGTTTTACACAACTTATAATTGCATAACATTTCTTTGATTATATGTGTTTTGTTTACTTTTTTATTAGATAAATTATGTTTTATTTCTTTTTTTATTATCTTTATGTTAAAATTGTTAAATATTGAAAACAAAATTCAATTACTTGGAGATGGAGTAAAAGGTTAAAGCATGGAGAAAAAATAGAAGTTTGTAGCATGTAGAATATATTAATAGAATATAAAATTCCAATAGGGTTTAGGGCATATGGGCTTAGGGCTTTTGGAGTTTTGGGTTAAGGTTTAGGGTTTAGGGGTTAGGAGGTTAAAGGTTTTAGAGATTAGAAATTTAGATTTATTGTTCTTTTGCTTCTTTTGCTCGACCTCCCTATCATTCTTCTTCTATTTTTTTTTCTTATTATTGTTTGTTATTCTTTAGATTTTCATTTTTATGTGCATAATTAATCTAATGTATGCTTTGATTTTAGTTATTTGTGAGATGAATGCTTGCTTATGAAGGAATAAGAAGAGTTGAATGAGATTAATTTTTAAAGCGAGTTTAAGAGTGAAAAGATAAGTATATCTATTTGTTCTAGTTCCATTGACTTTCTTTTATATGTAAAATGTGTTTTACACATGACTATTTCTACTTCTTCTTTGATTATATGTGTTTTGTTTGCTTTTCTATTAGAGAAATTATGTTTTATTTCTTTTTTTATTATCTTTCTAATAAAATTGTTAAATGTCAGAAACAAAATACAATTACTTAGAGAGGGAGCAAAAGGTTAATGTATGGAAGAACATTAAGAGTTTGTAGCATGTAGAAAATATTAAAAGAATAGAATTCAAATAAAGTTTACGGGCTTAGGGCTTTTGGGGTTAAGGTTTAAGGGTTTAGGGATTAGGGGTTAGGGGTAAGGGGTAAGGGGTTAAGGGTTAAGGGTTAAGGTTTAGGGGTTTAGGGGTTTAGGGGTTAGGGGTTAAGGGTTAAAGATTTGAGTTTATTGTTCTTTTGCTCCACCTCCTCATCATTCTTCTTCTACTTTTTTTCCCTTATTGTTGTTTGTTATTCTTTAGATTTTAATTTTTATTTGCATAACTAATCTAATGTACATTTTGATTTTAGTTGTTTGTGGAATGAATGTTTGCTCATGAAGGAATAAGAAGAGTTGAATGAGATAAGTTTGCAAAACGAGTTTAGGAGTGAAAAGATAATTATATCTATTTGTCCTATTTCCATTGACATTCTTCTACATGTAAAATGTGCTTTACACATGACTATTTCTATTTTTTTTTGTGTTTCTTACTTGTTATTATCATTCTTTCTATTATTTTCAACCCCCAAAACTCTCATTATCCTACAGTTTTCTTTTCATTTTTTGTTGTTTTCATGTTTTACACAACCTATAATTGCATAACATTTGTTTGATTATAAGTATTTTATTTGCTTTTTTATTAGAGAAATTATGTTTTATTTCTTTTTTTTATTATCTTTTTATTAAAATTGGTAAATGTTGAAAACAAAATTTAATTACTTCGAGATGAATTAAATGGTTAAAGCACGAAGAAACATTAGGAGTTTGTGGAATGTAGAAGATACTAATAAAATATAGAATTCAAATAGGATTTAGGGCTTGAGGCTTTTGACTTTTTGAGTTAAGGTTTAAGGGTTTAGTGGTTAGGGGTTATGGGTTTAGGGGTTAGGGATTTGAGTTTATTGTTCTTATGCCTGTTTTGCTCCATCTCCTCATCATTCTTATCCTATTTTTTTTTCTTATTATTGTTTGTTATCCTTTAGATTTTCATTTTTATGTGTGTAACTACTCTAATGTGTGCTTTGATTTCAATTGTTTTTGGAATGGATGCTTGCTTATGAATGAATAAGAAGGGTTGAACAAGATAAGTTTGCAAAACGAGTTTAGGAGTGAAAAGATAAATATATCTATTTGTCCTAGTTTTATTGACTTTTTTTTACATGTAAAGTGTGTTTTACACATGACTATTTCTACTTCTTACTTGTTATGATCATTGTTTGTATTATTTTCAACCCCCAATACTCTCATTATCCCACAATTTCTTTTATATTTTTTGTTGTTGTTTTCATGTTTTACACAACCTATAATTACATAGCATTTCTTTGATTATATGTGTTTTGTTAACAAAAAAAATATGTGTTTTGTTTGCTTTTTTATTAGAGAAATTATGTTTTATTTTTTATATTATCTTTCTATTAAAATTGTTAAATGTTGGAAACTAAATTCAATTAGTTGGAGAGGTGCAAAATGTTAAAACATGGAGGAACATTAAGAGTTTGTAGCATGTAAAAGATACTAACAAAATATTGAATTCAAATAGGGTTTAAGGCTTGGGGCTTGGGGCTTTGGGGGCTTGGGGCTTACTGGCTTAGGGCTTTTGGAGTTTTGGGTTAAGGTTTAGGGGCTAGGGGGTTAGGGGTTAGGGGGTTAGGGTGTTAGGAGTTATGGGGTTACGGGTTTAAGGGTTAAGAGTTAGGGATTTGAGTTTATTGTTCTTTTGGTTTACCTCCTCATCATTTTTCTCATATTTTTTTTTCCTTATTGTTGTTTGTTATCTTTTAGATTTTTATTTTTATGCACGTAACTAATAAAATATATATTTTGATTTCAGTTGTTTTTAAAATAGATGCTTGCTTATGGAGTAATAAGAAGAGTTGAATGAGATAAGTTTACAAATCGAGTTTAGGAGTGAAAAGATAAGTATAACTTTTTGTCTTAGTTCCATTGACTTTGTTTTATCTGTAAAATGTGTTTTGCACATGACTATTTCTACTTCTCTTTATGTTTCTTACTTGTTATGATCATTGCTTCTATTATTTTCAACCCCTAACATTCTCATTATTCCATAATTTTCTTTTCATTTTTCGTTGTTTTCGTGTTTTAAACAACCTATAATTGCATATCATTTCTTTGATTATAGAGGGAGCAAAATGTTAAAGTATAGAGAAACACTAGAAGTTTGTAGTATCTAGAAAATACTAATAGAATATATAATTCAAATAAGGTTTAGGGCTTAAGGCTTTGGGGGCATAGGGCTTATGGGCTTAGGAGTTTTGCAGTTTTGGGTCAAGGTTTAGGGGTTAGGGGTAGGGGGTTAAGGGTTAAGGTTAGGGAATTGAGTTTATTGTTCTGTTGTTTCTTTTGCTCCACCTCATTATTCTTCTCCTATTTTTTTCCTTTATTGTTGTTTATTATCCTTTAGATCTTAATTTTTATGTGCGTAACTAATCTAATGAGCGTGTTGATTTCAGTTGTTTGTGGAATGAACGCTCACTTATGAAGGTATAGGAAGAATTGAACGAGATAAGTTTGCAAAACGAGTTTAGGAGTGAAAAGATAAGTATATCTATTTGTCTTTGTTCCATTGGCTTTCTTTTACATGTAAAATGTGTTTTTCACATAACTGTTTCTATTTATTTTTGTGTTTCTTACTTGTTTCAGGAGCAACATCGAATCATGTGAAGGGAGATATTGAATTTCGGCATGTCAGTTTTTTGTTCAGCGATCTCTTCTTGGCAATTCACTTTGGCAAGGTAATTTCTTTAATATAGTTTCCCGGATGCATTCTCTTATCTTTTTGACAGCAATTAAGCCTTACAGAGGTCATTTGAAATTAGCAGTCAATTTTTAGGTATTTAAAAG